CCCCCCCATCAGTTCCCCGCTTCTCTCTCTGTCCCTCACCACATTACCACCATCACTCAATTGGTACTACAAATGTCCAGTACTCTCTCCTTCCACCAGCCACCCACCATTCTTCATGCTCCCTCGACCCATCATTTCTCATTCTTGCTTTCCCCCCTCCCCTCTGTCACATTACCATCACTCCATCGGTACTACAAACATCCAATACTCTCCACTTTCACCACCCACCAGCCACCCACTATTTTTCATGCCCCCCGACCCGTCATTACTCATGCTTCACCCCCCCCCCTCTGTCACATTAGCGTCACTCCATCGGTACCACGAGCGTCCAGTATGCCCACTGGTTCCTGCGGGAAATGTCGGAGGAAGTGAACCAAGTCATAACTTCCATTTGTGAAGAGCAGTGCATGCTCAACTACAAGGTAACCGTAGCGACGGTGCTGCTGCACCTTTACAGGGTTACTCCCCCCTGAACACCAACCACGTCTGTCTCGGCAGAGTTCTGAAGCTATTGTGTCCCCTGGTCCTGATGCGCTCCGTTCCTCCTTCATTTTCTTGTCGGTGGTGATGAAAGGTTTTTTTGGGGTTGTTTTTTTTTTCGCTCCTCCCTCTTATTCAAAAACAGATCATGCTTTGCAGCTGATAATTCTTCGGTGGGATCGTTGGAGCTCAATTTCTCTCTCTCCCCCTTTTACGTCGAGGAATAATTCTGGAAACTTCTGCAACTCAGTAGGGTATTCTAAAAATAGTTTGTTCAACGACTTTGATCAAAAGTTGTCTGTGTTTTGATGTTTAATGTATAGCTGTGTGTGTGTAAATAGACATGTCAAAATTGACTACGGCCGCTTTTGGTTAATTAAGTTCGGTTGCGAAATGCGAACGTGGAGACTTTGAAGTTTTACCTGATCAAAGACAGTTTCTAGTCTGCTTTTTGAGAAAACAGAATACCTCTCTCAGCTTTGATGTAGGTAAGTGCTGAAGTACTGCGAAATTCCCTGGCACAGTGATGTTTTCACATTCATTAGTTTGACTTTACATAAGGGAGAAACTCATTTTATTGGAAAAGCAAGCTCAAGAGCTGTAACTTTGATGGCAATAGATTATGCTGGCCGTAAAACCTCTACTAAAACAAAAAAAAACCCCAGATTATGCTGTCCTGGATTTCGTACTGAAGTGTATTTTGTTGCTGGGTCGAAGACTGGTTTTGATTTGCGGGGGGGGG